AGCTGAGCACCTGGCCCTCAGGAGCTGCCCAGTAAACATTTGCTGAGTGATTGAACCATTCTTCTCTGCAGCCAGACCTGAGTCCAACCTGAGTCACCCCTTGCTGCTCTCTCCATCCTAGGGGAGGTTGTGGCTGTGCTTGGCAGGGCCTCAATAAGGAACTGGGCATGGATTTTGCGGGGGGCTTTGGTGAAGAAAGTTCTACCTATATATTTTAAAGATAGAGATGAAAGGAAAGACTCACTCATCATTCCAGAGATATGCTGCCGTCTCGTTGAGCGGGGATGTGAATTTACTTGTCTCCTTGGCACAGACTGGTTGGCCACGACCTGGCTGGTAACACTGAACTGAGGGATCCCGCCACACTCATGGGGCCCACCCTGCCTTTTTGGCAGAAGGATTTTTCCAGCCCGAAGGATCTGTCAGTACAGAGTCCAGCCAAAATCGAGGAGCCTGCCTTAGTTTCAGAAGCCGGTGCAGTGGGGAGAAGGGGCTTGCCCCAGGTCAGTGGTGGAGGCTGTTCTCTTTGAATCTTCGGAGGCCATTGACGTGGTGTTTGGAGTGCCCATGCTGGCACAGACAAAGGCAGGGCTCGGGCCCCTGAAGGAAGCGCCCAGCACTGCCGGGTGGTGTGCAGGCCTCGTGATGCCCTCACCAAGCAACCTCAGTTTCCAGCTCCCTTGTAGATTTTGCTTTCTCCCCTTCATAGGGATAGGAAGTCTGATCAGGAGCGGAGCCAATGTCAGGGGCCTTGGTGAGGAATAGCAGCAGGTCGCCCTGGTTACAGTCTGACCTGAGGATGTGAGGAGGACCCGGCCAGGCTCCCATCCGAGCCCCTACTCAGGAAACCTCTTCATGCCTGAAGCCAGCTAATGTCTCCCAAATTGGAGCACTCAGGACCAAAGCATAAATGTTCCTTTTTGCCCTGAAGTACAGGGATGGCTTACGTGGCTTAATTACACTGTTCAAAAGCGAGTGAGCTAAGACAGGAAACTGCAGAAGGCAGGCCTGGACCTGGTGATCAAATGTAATCAGTTTCCACTGTAGGAAGATTTCAGGCATTTACCCAGGTGCTTGGGGGAGGGGACACGGCAATCTATGGTCTTCCTTCTCCTTCCCCTTATTTTTCTGATTCAGAAACCAGTCATCATGGAATCTATGGGGACTGGCCGCTTGCTCAGGAAGGATAAGGCAGGAGTGGGAGAATTGGTTTTGAAAATTATAGCCATGCCTGAGACAGGGCAGCTTCGGTGACTTCCAAGCAGCAGCTCCTTAGCAGCGAAGCTCAAAATCCCTCCTGAGTTTCCAGCCTGTGTTGTGGCCTGAGGGCAGCAGCCACATCTCCCCACTAGGTGCATTTTAATATGTTAAAAGGATGGCTCCAAGTAGTCACTGAAATTAATTGCACATTTAGGCTCGTATAAAATCATTTTTATGCAGTAAGGGATTGGATCATGTAGATTTCCATTATAAAAAAAAATTGCTCCTGTGATTCACAAAAGCACAGAAATGATGGGAGCACTTCATAGCCAATATGTTGCCTGGTGATCTGACAACATGGCCTTTTGGAATTTTGAAATTCAAATTATCTCTTTTAAATATTCTAAAAATAAAAGTATCAAACCCTGAAATAATAAATACTAGAATATGAATCAGAAATAATCAGAAATATAATTTTGCCTAGGGCAAGTAATAACTTTTTCCAGTTAAAAAGAAATACTTTACCTTTATTGGCATTGTGTATGGAAAAAGTGGTCTGGTTAAGGGAAATCACAGGCTGTAAAATGTTTGTTATTTGCCCTAGGAGATAATTTAAGGAACACCTTCTCATAGGTCATCAGACTTACTTTAAAGGCAAACCAAGTCCTAAAGTTCTAATTTGAGAAAGCTGGAAGGGAACCTTAAAGATGATCCAACCTCCTGTTTTATGACCAGAGGGGAATGGATTGGCCAGGATCTCAGAGACAGTTCACAGGACCTGAGGCTTCTGGTCAGCATGGAGCACTCAGACCCATGACTCACTAGAAAGCAAAGAACAATTGGATTCATGTCTCTTATGTCAGTCTGCCCAGTTCCAGCCCTACCTGAGCCCTTGATAGACATTAAAGGTAGGATTCACATCATGGAGTAAGCATTTTTCTACTAGTTATTTTTTTGAAATAAAACTTTATTGGGATGTAATTTACATACCATAACGTTTCCCCTTTTAGATGGAAATAACAGACACTGGAAACTCCAAAAGTGGCGGTGGGCTGGGGGGGGGGAGGTTAAAAAATTACCTACTGGGTATATTGTTCAGTTGTAATCAGTTTTCAGTGTTTTACATTCCTACCAGCCCTGTAATGCACGATGAACATTCATTTGGGGGAATGAAAACCCTAGAATCCCATTCCCCACCATTACATGTGTAATACCCATGTAATTAACAAGCACATGTACCCCAAATTAAAAAAAAAAATCCCCTTTTAAAGTATATCATTCACAGGTTTTCAGTATATTCACAGAGCATACAACTATCACCATAATCCAAATGTATAACATTTCCATCACCCCCTTAACCCCACTCAAAGAAATCACAGACCTACTAACAGTCACTCCCATTACCCACTTCCAGGCTCTGACAACCACTCGTCAGCTTTCAGTCTTTATAGATTTGCATATGTTGGATGTTTCGTTGAAAAAGAATATGTGCCCTTTTGAATCTGACTTGTTTCACTCACCAGATTCATCCATGCTTCAATTCATTCATGTTGTAGAACATATTAGTATTCCATTCCTTTTCATAGCCAAGTAATATTCCACTTTATGGCTATGCTACATTTTATTGATGTACATTTGAGTTGTTTGCCCTTTTGGCTGTTACAAGTAATGCACCATGAACACTTGTTTACAAAGTTATTACGTAGATACACGTTTTCAGTTTCCTTAGATGTATACCTAGTAGTAGAATTGCTAGGTCATATGGGAATTCTACGTTTAACCTTTTGAGGAGCTGCCAGACCATTTTCCAAAGTGGCTGCACCATTTGATATTCCCACCAGCCATGTATGAGGGTTCACTTTCTCCACACCCTCACTATTACCTGTTATTTTCTTTTTATGTAAGACTTCCTCATGAGTGTTATTCCTACTGAGTGTTAATCTTGTGGCACCTTCAGTAGATTGAAATGATCTCCTTGTTCTCCGTCTTCGCCTCTGGATCGTGACTTCCCAGAGGACTGAGTGTGTCATAAAATCCCCGTCTCTAGCGGTACATGTGTATTGAGTTGGATCAAATGCTGCTAAATCCATGGCTTGTCATCATTTATACATGCGGCCAACTTTGACTCTCAACTGTGTCAATTCTGTGCTAGAGATTTACATTATACAAAGAGGGACAAACCATGGTTCTTGTCTTCAAATAAATAGGTTTGACTACCAGGGTATTTACGGGACCGAGGGTAGGTGAAGAAAAGGAAATTTCAGTGACATAGTAGGAGGCATTTAAGAAATACTGGACATTTTCAATTAATTTGGCAAAATGAAAAAAAATAGATATGTTTCCTTGGTTGTGGCTGTGATGGGTAGAGACAGTGGTGCTGAGCCTCACTCACACATGTGAAAGCTTGTTTCCTCCAGAAGTAGCAGAGAGCCTTCCAGTTCCTGAGGCCCTGTTCAGGGCCCGGCTCCTGCCAGCTGGTAGGCAGAAGCCTCCTCAAGCCCTGTGTCCCTCTGCTGGGTTCAGAGAACACTCCCAGGCCTGGTTCTATCAGCATACTCCATGTACACAGGTGCAGAATGCTCTCCCCTGCCACCCGAGAGCACACCTCAGCCAGGACCTTGTTCAGGGCTTGCTCAGGCCAAGGTACATGATCCAGGAAAGCTGAGATCAAGAAAAATGAATTCCATGCTGGGCATGGTGGCTTGTGCCTATAGTCCCAGCTAATCAGGAGGCTGAGGCGGGAGGATCACCTGAGCTCTGGAGTTCAAGGCTGCGGTGAGCTAAGATTGTGCCACCATACCCCAGCCTGGGTAACAAAGGGCCCTGTCTCTTAAAAAGAAAAAAAAAAAAGGAGGGAGAAATTAATTCCCTGCCTGATGAAGAACTGGTCTGTGGTTCACAGAGGGTCTTGAACATTTCCCCTTGTGTGCCTTGCCTCATCCTGTCGCCTCTGCCCTGGAACATCTGTTTTAATTAACTCCAGTCCCGGTGAGGATGGCCATATACTTTATCCAAACTAGGGCACTTTGAGAGTAAAAGAGGATCATGCCGGGACCGTCCAGGGCAAACCAAGGCTGCTTCCACTCCATGCATCAGTTGTCTCATCTGGGGAAGGCACTCTTCCCCTACTTCCCACTGCCATCCTCCCTAAGAAGACCTGCCCTCTGCCGAGCCCGCCACACATGTTAGGGACCATTCCACCTCCTGTGTTGTCACTGGGTTACCTGTCTCATCCTCCTCACTGTATCATGGACTTCTCAAAATCAGGGACCAAGTCAAGGGGCTTGGTATTCAGGAGGTACTTATGAAATTCTCATGAGATTGAGGAATTACTACAGACTGAAGTCAAAGATAAAGCTGAGTCATCTGTGAGGCCTCATCTAGGTACCAAGGGCCTTGGGAAAGATGTCACAAAGGCATTTCCTCCACCACTTCTTACCTTTTCTTCCACCCCTGACCCTCCTGTACAAAGCTCAGCATCTTGATATCCTGGAAAACATGTGTAGACAAACATATTTAGGGTTCCAGGTGTCCAGAACCTTCCAGAAATTCTTGCCAGTACAGGTAGCAAAATACCTTTCATCCAGCTTTGTGGGGAGCATCTCCAAACAGTGAATTTATTTGGAGTTCAGAAACGTGACTTTCTGATTCATTTCTAATTCAAATCCTTCCCAGATTGATATCTTCCCATTAAGACCCTACACTATGATAGTCCCAGTGAGGATGGCCATGTACTTTATATCCAGACTAGGGCACTTTGAGATATTCTTGAGCTGACACTTTCCCCTTCTGTTTTCCAGGATCAGTACAAGTTCTGCTACGAGGTGGCCCTGGAATACTTGAATTCTGGCTGATGGCGTAAACAGCTCTGTAAACAGTCCCTTTTGTACCACAAAGCCAAGACGTTCCATGGTATTTGTGCAGAAGAGATGAAGACTTCTCAATATGCTTATTTTGCTTTGCATAATTGGCTCTTTTTAAGAGCCCAAGAAAGTGTTTCTAAAACTGCTTGCACTGCCTGATCCCAGTAATGCTGCTGCCTGACAGAAACACACACACAGCCACAGTCGCCAAGTCCCGTACTCCTCGCCACCGGCTTCCTAGAGCAGCGTAGACATCTGGTAAACTGAAGAGCACAACTTTATTCTTATGAAGGAATTTGTACCTTTGGAGTATTATTTTGTGGCCCGTGATCCTTCGTGATTGTTCAGCTGAGTGTATGTTTTTGTTCTGTGGAGAATGCTACCTGGCATTATAATATATTATTTTAGGTAATATTTGTACTTTAACATGTTGCATAATATATGCTTATGTAGCTTTCCAGGACTAACCGATAAACGTGTAATGAACACAGAGATGTTGTATGAGTCATCGTTTCTATCAGATTTGTATTGTTTCCAAGGGAAAAGCTTGGGGGAGGACTCGGTTCACAAAATGCAAAACGCAACAGTCAGATTCATGGACCCAGAGCTTTTCCATTTGTTTATATTGTATATATTTTTGATTTCATCAAATTATTTATTCATTAAAAGAAATTTTTGTGAAGCACAGTGAGTGACAATCATTTTTCTTAAGGCCTGGAAACTATTTTCTGTATGATGTTACTTTCTGTGAATTCTCAACTCAATAAATGATGACCCGTGAGCAGTCGTGGCGTGTTCCTGGTGTCCCAGCGCACGGGCGGTGGAGGCTGCACCCGTCACACCAGCGCACCGGGGGAGAGTGTGCGCTGGGACCTGTCTGCGGGAGCAGGTGCAGGAGCGCTCTTTAAGAGAGCGTTCGTCAGTGAGAGCACCGGCCCGTGGAGGTGCCGAGGAGGCGCAGCCATGAGCCTGCCCCTGGCCACAATCCTGACCTGGTGGGGCAGCTGGGCCAGGGGCCATGGCCGGGACTTGCTGACTGAGGCAACCTCTTCCTGTTTCCGCTCAATCTGTGGGGGATAGTATCTGTCCTCTCCATGCCTCAGGCCAACCCAAGGCTGGCTGAGAAAACAGTTTTTAAAGGGTTAGAGAATCAGTGCATTTAAGGACATGGAGCTGAACAAGTTCCCGCCAGAAGGGAAAGATGGCTGAACGTGGAGAGATCACGCAGGGCACCTGGGCCAGGCCACTCGGGCTCTGGCCACTGACACGGGAGGCAGGTGCCCTGCAGCCTCACAGCTTGCATTTAGCTTGGGTTGTAGGCTGTGTTAATGATTACCAAGAGCTCTATCGAACACCACTTGTGAGCCAGACACCATGCAGAGCACCTTCCCATGTGGTAGCATGTGCTCCCAAAACAATCCAGGTACCATAGGAAACCCACCTACCAGGTGAAGACACTCCAGCTAGCAAAGACTGAATAACCCGTCCAAAGTCACAGTGGCCAGCAAGTGCCGGAAGCCTCCAGAGCCATGGGAGTTGGAGGGGCAGCACCCTCACTACCCTCACCCTCTGCAGCACCCTCACAGAGTCCACTAGTGCTGAGACAGATTCTGGCCTGCCACACCCCATGGAAGTGGAGAGGCTTGAGGGCACTGTTCCTGCCTGCTCTGGGGATCTTGGTGGCCAAAGACTTAAAGGGCAGAGATTGCCCTCCCAGAGGACTGACCTGGACATCTGCATGTTAGACCTTTACCACTTCACTGTACCCTGAGCAACCCATACACCCTGATTGGTGTCAGTTTCTCTAGAACCCTCCGTAAATTGGGTGGGTGGGACACTGTCCTCCCCCAGGAAGCCTGGCTGCAGCAGAGCTTGGAGTCTGCACTCAGTGCCTCACACCCAGACTCCTCAGGAGAATGGCCACTCGCCCTCCCAGCCAGTTCTCTTTGCTAAGCTCCTAAAAGATTAGAAGGCTGCTATTTTTGTCTGTCCCTCTTCAAAATGATTTCTCCAGGATGTAGGAATAGAGATGAAGATGTGGACCACTGCACCCTTTGTGGGTGAGTTGGACCCTGACCAGGGGAGTGTGGTGAAGCCCTTGGCCCTCTGTGGTGGCAGCATGGCTCTGGGCTCCAGTCCCTCTGCCTGGGTGAAAGAGCTCATCCGAGCATGGCGAGGAAGTGACCTGAGATGCACGAGTCTAATGACACAGCCCACTTCCCCGTCATTCCCTGTGTCGTAATACCCGGCCTCACACGGGAGCTAGTTGTTTCCTCTAGACTTTTCAGTCCCTTGGATTTTTATCTTTTTCACTTATTTTGCCTCTTAGCAGAAACGGTAATGGAAAGGGCAGGCCTTTTGTGTCTTTTTCTGATTTCCCACGAGGGCTTGCAGCATGGTTGAGATCTGTTATTTCCAATACACAGAGAAAGCCTCTGCCCCTCGCAAGCAAGAGAAGCCACCCTATTGGCTAAGAGTCCTTCTCTGTCATCTTGCAGTGCTCTGGGTTCCCCTCTGTTGTGGCATCTGGAACCACCCCCACAGAAACTTCAATGCCTGGGACTGAAGTCAGCTTCACAGCAGCACCTGATGATTCTTTTGTAACATGTCAGCACAGCAAGACTGAGCAGCGTTTCCAGAATTCCACTCTCTGTATGTTTTCAGATGGGGTGCGCCGCAGGGGTCATTTGATACAAGATGTAGAGGCAGAAGGGAAGCAGCAACCATGTTGTTTTTACACTTGGAAGGTGGAGCAGCTGTGGGCCCAGCAGGTGAGTGACCATGGTGTGAGATCCTCCAACTCGCTCCAAAGGGCCCTCCCAGCCTCTGCTCACTGGGTCAAAACCTGCATTTTTAGGTTTTGTTAAGGTATCCTAGAGCCAGGACTGAAATGTGCATTAGCTATCTTCTGCTGAATAACAAATTGCCCCAAAATTTGTAAACTTAATAATGAACACTTATCATCTCACACCATTTCTGTAGGTCAGAAGTTCAGAACTGATTTAGTTGGATGATTCTGGCTCAAAGATCACTCATGAGGTGGCCATCAAAATGTTGGGTCATCTGAGAACTTGACTGGAGCTGGAAATAAACTTATAAGGCACATCACTCATGGGCCTGGCAAAGGGTGACTGGCTGTTGATGGGAGGCCTCAGTTTCCCTCCATGTGGGCTGCTTCCACAGCTGCTTAACTGTCCCCACAGCATGATACTGACTTCTCCCAGGGATTCAGAAAGGAATAAGACAGAAGCCACAATTATTTTATGATCTAGCCTTGGAAATCATATGCTCTTATTGCCACAATATCCTACAGTTTCAAAAGTCAGTCCTATTCATTATGGGAGGGGACTGAACAGGGGCACAAATACCAGGGCATAGGGATCATTGGAGGTTGGCCACCACCTACTGGCCAGCTTCAGACCTCCCACATCAGCCAGAACCTCAGCATCTGCAGGCTGGTTGGCCAGAGCATAGCAAGTCTCATCCCTGGAAAACCTGGCCTACCAGTCAAAGCTCCTCCCATACACCATCCCGTCTGTCCTGCTATACATTTCCATCCTACCACCTTCTGCTGCTGACACTGTTCCAAGTCATTTGTAGCATACCCTAAGGAAACTTTATTCCATTTTAAACAAACTTGATTAACACAGGCTTGATTCATAAGCCTCTTTCCCTAAACTCCATGAAAAATGCCCCCTCTGAAACTTCCTCAGAGCCAAGACATTCTTTCATATCTCGAACATTTAATCAATTTCAACAACCACCCTTATACTCCACTTGAGCTGATGGCCACACCCTGAAGCCTGTCACCTGGAAAAGCCTTACCTCTGAAATCTTAAACACGCCAAATTCTGACTCCAACCTCTTCAACTGCTAGCTTTGTCTTTGCCTTATTCCCTTATTCTTGTTCCTTGTGCTTATGAAAACCTCCAGTCCAATACTGAGTGCTGCACCCTTTCTTATCTTTCCCACAGAACAGCCCAAGCCCCATGACGTATCCCTTTAACCAGTTTTGCTAACACCTTCTCAATGCCCTTGACACTTCTTACTTCTATCATATCTGTTCTACAGATGGCTAATTTCAGAGAAACTCTTACAGGACTTTTAATTGCAGACAAGCTAGGGTAACAAAAACCAATTTACCCTCCTAAGTGTAACAAATAACTGGGAAAAATATATTTTTTAAAATGGTGTGCAAGATACTGGACATCAGGCAATGGAGGATAACAATCTCCAAGAAACAGGAAACAAATTAGGTAACCCTAGAATTGCCCCAGCTTATGGCCTGAGAGAACTTCTAGAACATGGGTATAGAGAGGGGGGAGTCTAGGCGGAGCCACGTGGTTTCTCTTATTTGAGGAAATAAGGCTGAAAGTCAGAAAGGCCAAAGTGGCAAAGGTCTGCAGCACAGAGTATAAGACAAAGAGCTACGTAGAGAAAGAGTTCTAAAGATCCCTGTGTCCCCTTCAAATCTTTAGCTATGTACTGATCATGACAAACTTGTGAGGAAACTGCAAAGAAAAAAAAAACCCCAAAAAGATTAGAAGGAACAATATAGTTCACACAGGGCAGAATAGTTCCTGTTTCCATTGGATAGGGCAACCATGTTTTTGACTCCATAGTGGGGCAAAATTATCTCTAGGCTAAGCACAACTGTGAGCCTGTCTAACAGCAATAACTGAGGTATCAAACTGTTTCCAAGTAACTTAACTGCACCTCAGAACAGAGTTCAAGAACATTTATAAGAATACAAAAATATCCAGCACCCAAGAAAGTAAAATTCACAACGTCTGGCATCCAATCCAAACTTACTAGGCACATAGAGAGTCAAGAAAACATGACATATGATGAGCAGAAAATCAATACATGAAACTGACTCAGAAATAATACAAATGAATTAATAGACAAGCACATTAAAGCAGTTATTTTATAACTGTACTCCATCCAGATTATCAAAAAGAGGAAAGATTTAGCATGTATGGCAAAGACATGGACAATTTTTTTAAAGACCCAAATTGAACTTTGAGAGATGAAGGCTACAAAGCCTGAGACAGAAAAATATACTAAATGGAATAAACAGCAGATTAGACGCCAAAGAAGAAAAAATTAGCAAACTTTAAGACATTGATAAAACAATCTAAAATAAAACACAAAGACAATATTGGCAAAAAATGAAAAGAGCATGAATGAACCATTGGAGTCTCACTAAAGTTGGGGAGAAGGGGCAGAAAAAATAATTGATGAAATAGTGTCCCAAATTTTCAAAACTGGGTGGAAATTATAAATCCACATGTCCAATAAGCTCAAAAAAAAAAAAAAAAAACCTCAAGAAAAAGAAACATGAAGAAAACTACTAAGGTACATCATAATCAAATTGCTTATAACCAACGACAAGGAGAAAATCTTATAAGGATCCAGAGAGGACTCACTGTGTGCAGAGAAAGATAAGAATGACAGCAGACTTCTTTGCAAACACATTGAAAGTGAGAAGATAGTAGAGCAACAATTTAAAGTTCTGAATGAATTTTTTAAATGTCAACCAACAATTCTATACCCAGAAACAATATTTTCCAAAGTAAAAGTAAAATAAAATCTCCAGCATAAAAAAGTTGAAAGAATTCATCCCCCAAACGCCCATGATACAAAAAATAAAGGGAATGATCTCAAATAGAAATCTGCATTTAT